TTCGTTTGGGACCCGTTGCTCCGGCTGGTGCAGACGGCGGGGAAACATCAGGAGGGGGGCTGCCCGATCCTGCCCTTGTCGTTCAATGTCAGGGATCTTGTCGCCAAAGATCACAACTCGCTCTCTCCGGCGGAGAGCCTCAGATTCCGAGGAGGCGAAGACGGTGAGGCCGCCTGGCTGGCTCTCCCGAAGAGCAGAAGGAGAAGTTTTCAAAGGCGTTTCCGATGGGCTATTCCCGGACGGCTGAGGAGGTGGCCCTAGCTGCCATGGCCTGCCTTAAGCGGATCGGGGGCAATATCATACCCCCCGATCTCCTCGTGCCTGTCACTCCTGGCCCAGCGGGGTGCTTGGTCCCTTCGTATGTCGGTGTGGACCAAGAGGGTCGGCGGATAGTCGGCCGGACACCGGGATGGGGTTGGGGGCGATGGCGCAGCCGCGCCGGTGTCTAGGTGAACGAAGGAAGTCGGGCCCAAGGTAGCCATACGTGGTGCGCGTCGGGCTGTCCGGGGGGCCTTGCTGAGAGGGGGTTCGCGGCTAGGTCAACGAACGCGGTGGCCTTCGTTGACCTAGCCAGAGGGGAGACTAACCGTCACGTGCCCGGGGCGTCCCCGGCCGTAGCACCCGCCGTTCATATAAAGCTAACGCTGCCTGGTCGGAGTTCGGGTGTGAAAGCCGGTGGCGCTTCGGCCGCATTCGGAGCCCCCCTATGTCCTTATCCATGGATGCGACCTCACGCCTTCAAAACTGAAAACCGGACATGATCTCAAGTTTCAAGTTAAGAACTTCCATTCATCCTACCCCTAAGGCTAGTCTATATAGAGCTATGACTTTCATCGCTATGGGCAGGAGCCAGCTGAGTTTGTATTGCTTGGAAGGTGGAGGGGTGATGTGCTAGGGAGCTAAACCCCGTCCCTGTCTCCCATATTGTCTGCTATAATAGTTTAAAATGTCAGTCAGAGAGAAGCGGCAGGGCGAGGCAATTGCCCCCCTTGCCTTGCCCTCTTCTTCCGATGCCACTAATAGGGTATGCAAACTTGGGGATTCCCTGCCATAAATAAATGCAACCCCTTATGGCTGCCACTGCATACAAAGGAAAAAAAGAGAGATGTGGTTCATTTTTCTCTTAGATGTTCATATCAGAGGGGATACAAACAGTCGTGGGTAGTTGCGGCTGAGTGAGCCAGCAGTGAGTGCTGCCTAAGTGTTCGATTCGGACTCTCGTTTAATCGGCAAGAAAACAAGTACCAGACAACTATTGGAACGTATCCTGTGAATGGCTCCTGGGATTTTCGCAAATGGTCTCTTGTCTTACAAATGAATGCACTCCTATTAACTAAGGGCACTTAGCGAGCTATATATCCGAGGGTAAAAGACTAAAAACAATGGAAAAGTAACAGAAACCAACAACACTTCTACTTGTTCATTGTTTTTAGCGCTTTTTCCCTCGGAAATATGGATCACCAACTAGCCCAAGTGCATACCCTTCTACACTTAGTGAGTTGCTTCCTCCCTTCTCATACTGCTGAGTCTACATTTAAGCATTCATTCTTCACAGGAGGACCGACACGACAGATTGACCTATCCGGTGATGCGAATTGACAAAGAGGACTCAAAGGCCATAACTGCGGTGTTGGAGAACCACTTATTTGAGGTGACGGACGGATTGGGCACTTCATTGATTTGAAGTACGATATAAAGTCTGCCTTGGCTTTGGATCTCATCACAAAGTAAGAAACTTGTTCACCAGAGGGAATATGTGTGCCATTTTTGCCTTTTTTTCCCATGTCCTAACATTAAAGTGTTGGCTTATTGAGCTCTATTCTACTTTTTTTATCCTTTCTATGCTGACTTTTCATGAAAACCTATGGCCTCCGAACAGGCTCATGCTCCCTCTTTTATGTCCTTTTTCAGCTGCACTTCCACATTTCCAATTCAACCCTCCCCTTGTGAACATATACATAGCTGCTTTTAGATTTTAGGGCTACTGTTCATTGCAAAGTGCTTGAGTTGTCTCAAGTTGTATGTAGCAGCTCCCATAATAAGGACAGAAGTACTATTCCACATTACAGAGAAATCAAGGGAGGTATTGAAATTTGATACAACAGCTGCAAAAATAAAAGTACAGTGGTCGCACTTCAACAGGCTAAAAATGCCACTTGCCAGTAGAGTTTTTTTTGTTTCAGCAAACGTTTGACTAACAAGGAGCCAATTGTACACTTCCCTTCCCCTAATTCTGTTAGCAGGCATTTACGTTACTTTTTACTGGGTGATTTTACACTCAGCACATAACACTATACTTGAGCAGAGTTCGTGTGAACCCTTCCTGGAAAGTGTGCTTAACTGTTTAATTCTGAGTTTAGGCAACACTTCCAAATGGGGTTGTACTTACTCTACAAAATTCTTTAGTGCGAGTAATTAAATCCCCACTTCAAGTGTTGCCTAACTCTGTATGAAAGAGTAAAGCAGTCTCCAGGAAGGGATCATATAAACTGCTAAGTTTGCTGTTATGTAATATTAATTCTTGCTATAGAGCACACTAAACTTTTTAATACGGAGTGCAGGCACCACTTCTAAGGTTACAATAACTCTTCCTGGAGAGCGTGCTTAACTCTTTAGTACAGAGTTCAGGCAACACTTTTTCTTACATACGACAGACTGGTTGTCGCTTAAACAATTGTATTTAGGAGCAAAAAAGGGCAGTTAAAATAATGCACCAAACTCTGAAATTCAAAACCTGTAGACAGTCCTGACTCTTGCAAATCCATTTGTGTGACTATAGAAAAGTTAAGTGAGCACTCGTATGGGAGAGTAAAACATACACTAGTCGTGGAAAGGTAACGATTACCTATCCCTAGCAGGGATAGGCGGTATTTCAAATACAAGTAATTGAAATATGTATTTCAAATACTTTGTGTATTTTGAATTTCTATTTAATTACAAATTGGGTAATGCATTTGACGTGTGTATTTAAATACTAAAAGGTGGGTATTTCAAATACAATTGTAATTAAATACAATTTTGTGGGCGAAAATACATCCCTCAAATTTATTGGCACTGTCCAGAGCAGAAAGAAAACTACGTTCTGCACCGAATGCAGTGTCTCTTAATCAAGCACAAGCGTTTAGTGACTTTGTGATTACGGTGCTAGTCCAGGGAAAGAATAGTGATGAAATCGACGTTCACAGGCAGACTGGCTAAATAAGCGCCTGTGACAACTTGTGATGCTTTCCAGCCTGATTTCCATCCATAATTTTGCCTGGAACATTCTAAATGCGTGTGTCGTCCAGATTTTCGTTAACTGGTGCGAGTTGCAACAATAAAAAATTCTTTAGCTAGTGCTCCGTGTCTTGGTCGTCTCAGTTCTTTGTTGGTCTATACCAACATGTAATCGACAAAAAAAGCTGCTTGAGGCTCTGTACTTTTTCACCTATTACGTCCAAGCTGATTACATTTTTTGTGATTATATTTCTATTACGTTACTAGAGCCTCGCAAACTTACTCCAGAGTGTGCGTAGAGATACGTAGAAACCCGTTGCAGGTGCCCTGAAGTCGCTCTCGCAAATTTTGAGGAATGTATTTAGAAAAGTATTTGGAAGAGAACAAATAGATTTGGTTGTATTTGTATGTTGTATTTAAATGCTTTTTGTAGCGTGAGCTACACTGGCCGAAATTGAGCAGTTTCGCGTGGCTGGCATAATGAGCCATGCTCCGTGCTGCGCAAGTGCGAGGAGCAGTGACGTCGCACGGCGCACAGCTGGCGGGGCGGAGGCCAAGTCGCCGCGGGCTCCGCCGCCACCGCGCTCGCCTCGCCAGTCTTCGCATTCCAGAGGAGTGACGTCACAGCCACGGCAGACGCACTGGCGGCGCCGCGTGCCCAGCTATGTGCCTCCATTGCGCAGTAGCCAAGTCTGACGCTGCACCGGAGCTGCTTGATAGCACCTCTCATTTTATGCGCCTAAGCTCACGCTACGTATATCCTGGCATAGCCGAGCTAAGCCACCGCAATTTTTTTAAATGTAATTAGACTCGTAATTAAATACATTTTTGACGAAGTATTTTTGTATTTGTATTTTGATACATATTTGCATGTATTTTTCATATCCCTGGTCCCTAGAGAGAGTATAGCTTGCGATAACCCGGATTCTCTCCAAAAAGAGTACAGTCAACACCCGTCCATTCCTTTTTTAATTATTTTTTTAAGAGTGTAGAGTTAACATAATAATCCGAAACGAAAGGTCCCCTGCGTTTGGCCGCTTCGAAATGGCGGAACATAGAAGCGGAGATCGGCGGTCCCAGTTCGCGATTTCGATGAGCCCTATCGCTGCCGAAGCCTTTATATGCACCAAGATGCAGCCAAACATCACCAGTAAAGTCTGTACCTTGTTATTTTCTGTCTTTGCAGAAGAACACAGGAGTCGCGCAGTGATAAATTTAAATAAACCTGACAAGTGCTCGAGCAACTTCAACTTGTCGCGGCAAAACGAACACGCCTAACTTTTTGTTTGCTTTATTTCTCTGCCTTTTTTCGCTCTTTCTCTCGGGACTGGAGATGTTAGCGCCCAGGACTTGCCGTGTTCTACTCCTGTCTTTACCCGCCTGGCTGAGGTTGTGCCGGCGTGTCCGTTGGGAGCCATTCATAATGTCGGCAAACCGATTGCTCGAGCGTTGCCTTGTCCTGGTTCCTAATGATTTCCGGAATTCTAGAAAAACCAATATTGCTGGCCGTGGCTCCTTTGACACCAAGTTTTACGGCTAAAACAATCACAGAGCAACTGACTGTCTTCAACCTCGAGTGGGTGCACAAAGTACCATGCAGACAAGGCCCCAAAGGACACAAAACATAGGATAACAGCAATGAATGCCTCCAACATGGATTCCAGTGGGTTTTGATCAGATCCACGAAGAGGTAGCAGCATTGAACCATGGTATTGTGCAACAACCCTATACTGGTAACAAGTTACTGCTCCGTTCTAATTTACAACCAACTGTCTTTGACACTTTCAATCCAATCCGAGATCCAATCCGCTGTCACTCCGTGCGTGTCGCCAGCATTGCTCGCCTTGGTTGCTCTGGTTTCTCACTTTCGCTTGTTCCTTCGATAGCTTCTTGCCAACCAGTCGTTCCACTACCACCTAGAGGTTGAGAAAACTAATTCGTAGTGTTCACAATGATCTACGGGTACATAAAGTACATGAAAGGCGGGAAACGGGCCATTTTGCCATTTTCTCTCATCCTAAGGTTCGCGCCGAAGTCGACCGAGGACCTCACTCCTACTTTTGTGAAAGCATACTAGTAAAAGCCAAGTGAAGAAAAGGAAGGCTAATAAGATGCCAATGTGATCCAACCTGGCAGTAAGTATAGGGTGACTGAAATAACCAGGCTCGATCTAAAATGGGCCATAAAAATTGGCGCCTGCACATAGCAATCTGAACTTTGTGTCAAAGGTATATTTCACAGGTTGGTTTTTGTAAAATTACAAAGCGTAGCTCCCTTTCTGCAAAACATAGGGCTAAAAAACTTGCAAGGGTCAACAACGGATGGCGACGTAAACGACCAAGTCGAGCGGCGAGGCGCGTTTGGCGTCCGGTTTTCCGCAGCTCGCCAAGGCCTGGCTTCAAGACGCGCCCGCCGCAGCTCGCAAGACTCCCTGACGACTACAAGATCATCATCCGTGCACGTGGTGGCCTCAACCTAAGCTCGATGAGCACAGGCAAGCTGCAAGACTTCGTCTTTAACACTGCCCAGACCAATTACAACGTGGCACGCGATGATAAAATTCGAATCAATGCCATTCAAAACTATACTACTCAGCACCCCCTCTGAAGGACGAAGAGAACTATTTTCTGGCCACATATATGGCAAATCCTGCGAAGATCTCACGCGGAATCATCTTTAATGTGCCAGATTACGGTCCACCGGAGAACATCAGCCAATACCTAATCGACTGCAATCACGACCCGGCTATTCTCCTTGCCCGTCGGATGTCTCTCATCACTGCCCCTCTCTGCGGCAAAAGGTCCAAACCCTACGGCAAAAGGTCCAAACTCTACGGCAAAAGGTCCAAACCCTCACACAATAAATCACTGCCGTTCAGAAGGAAAATGCAGACTTACGACCCCTCCTTAAACAGAAAGGTTACCCCTCCAGCGCCAACTCCTACTCCTCCCCCACAACCCGTTGCAGTTGCCATATCCTCACCTGACAGCACCGCCCAGTCTGTCAAGCGTAGAGTAATCAATACTATGGCCTCAAAATCGTAGACAAATTACACCGACTCAGCGTCAATGACCGAAATGTCTCGCATTTTCAGTGCCAGACTGCAAACCTTAGAGCAAAACGTTACAGCCGTTGTACGGCGATAGAAAACGCTGTCTCAAAGTACTCCTCCAGATTGGCCCAACTCACCAGTCAAATAAACCAACTCACCAACATCTCATCCCAGTTGGGGTCCTAAACTCCTCCACCACCCCCACCATCCATACCCTACCTCTAACAGTGCATCCCTCAATATGGCTTTACCTCTCCCACGCCCGCCACGCCTCAGTAGGCACCAAACCACTATCTGGCAATGGAATTACCACAGCTTCCGACTGAAGCGTGGCTATCTTTAACACTGCCTCCAGTCTTTCCAAACTCCCCCCGATATCATAGTGATTCAGAAAACCCGCCGCGCGGTCAAACTAGCCGTCTATAGAGCCTTCCAAACTCCTGACAACGAGGAACCCAATACCGCCATCCACACTCGTAGACATCTAACCGCTTCGTACAAAAATCTTGGCGGAGTCGACGTGGAGCACGACATCATAGAAATCCTTCCCCAAAGGAAAGGCGACCCATGTCTCTATATACTAAACATATTTAGCCTCCCGTCGGCTTGCAAACACCGCTTTGGCGTCCTCTTCTCCCGTGCCTAGAGGGAGGAGGGTCCTCCCTCTAGGCCTGAGTACCCTTTAACAATTCCTGAGGGGTGTAAGAGACCCATCATAGCTTTTTGAGAGACCTGTGAGGTCTGTCCCAATCCTTTTCGTGAAACTACAGCCCCTATCAAAAATTATTTTAACGGGTCTCTAGGTCAGATCATGCGACCATTCAGGATACATTCCGCCGGGGAAGCCACTCGGCCATTTTGCAACGGGTTGCGCGACAAGTTTTAGAAATATAGGAGACATTCCCCAGTCCCTTCCCGTAGTGGCGCGGCCCCAGCGAAGAGAAAACGGGCACGCACGAAACAACCCGTTGTGGAAAGGACGTTGCTCCTCTCCACTTCAGCTCTTAGTTTTCACCATTTCCCCCTTCACACGCTTTGCTGTTTGATTGTAGATAACCTGTTTTAGTCAGTCGAAATACAGTCTTTGTCAGAATCTGGTCACCCTGTTTTTTCTCAGTTTTTGGAGACCAAGTGTCGCATTTTCCGGGTTCAGGGTCTAGTTGGAGGAGTCCCGGCACACTTATGACACAGAGCTCTGCTTTTGCTGATTGTTTAAGGGCTTGCTTCGGTATCAAGGAGGCAGCCGGGCATGCTGCCTATATTTCGTGTGCAGGCTTTTTTGCCCCCACGTGCCGAACCTTGGTTTTCCCACGACAGGCTGTTTGTTACTTCCAGGATTGCATACGTCTGCTCCTTAAAAACCGACGACCACTTTGCGCTTTCCACTATTCCCTCGCTTCCTCCTCTCCCATGGTGAGGAGAAAATTCTGCCTTGCAGAATCTCGAGTCTGGTCGTCGGCCTTTAACCCCGAAACGCAGGGCCAAACGTAAAGATTCACAGAGGAAACCAGGTCCGGGAGACAGATGAGTCGATGGCCGTTAGGTCTCTCGCTAAGCCGGAGACAAGGTGCCTCTGGTTCTTGTAATCGTACCTCTCCCATGATGCTCACAGAACAGGCATGATACTCTGGAATGACTGGCATACTTTTCTTCTTGCTCGATCATCTCCGCTTACGTTTCTCAGCCCCAAAAACGTGCTTCGGTTGACATGCGCCGACAGTTCGGTTTTGCAGCGAAGAGCAGTTGGTTGGCGTCCTGCATTGGGCTATTTCCTACTTACACCAAAATTCATAGCATGCTAACCCAGGAGCCAAATAATTGTGGCCCGAGAGAGTCTGGCCCGAGCCAATGAGATTATTCTGTCTCCGTTAAAGCCCCAAGATCTGTACCATTCTTCCCACTAATGAATGTACTCTTATTCGACGTATCTTTTATTTTAAATGTAGAACCTGGGTATAACTGTAATATTTGTAACGCTGTCACTGGACCCATCAAGTGTTCATCTCGTAGTACGTAATCTGCCCATTCAAGTCTCCAATTACAAGCTACCAGCACTGGTTCAGGGATGAAAATGTTTGATAGCTCAAATTTCTTTGTGTAGCAGGAAAAAATGGTGCTTCTAGATAACTTTAAACGACCAATCTCAGTGGCCAATGGTCAGAGCAGCACAACTGACATTGCTAGGTCACATATACTTACGAAACAAAAGATCTGGTGGCTGTTCCTTGTAGCCTCTACCCAAGATTGAGGTAAACAACAATGGGCGATGCAGGTTTGCAAGACATTATTTACATGGTTGAGCAAGCCAATTAAATTACCTACATAACATTTTTTCCTGCCAGTTTGACTTTCAATCAGCAGGTCCTCTCGAAAGTCATAAAACCATACCAGTAGCCCCATTTTAGTACAAGTGCACTTTCAGACAACTCCTGGAAATGTTATGCGAGAACATTCATGGCAAATACGGTTCCATTTTTGTCTGCAGGTGACAGATGCTACCTCTGGAGCCCTGGCTACTCACCCCTATTTCTGGCAACCCCAGCAAGAGGCAGCGCTCAACAACAGCGTGTTGAGCGGTGCGTCTTGTCGAGTCTGGCCTCGGCCAACACCGCTCAACACGCTGTTGTTGAGCAATGCATTGGTAAGCTGAAAAACCAGTTCCGGTGCCTGCAGAAGTACCACGCTCTGCACTACGACCCAGAAAGAGCACGTAATTTAGCAACAGGATGTGCTATTCTGCACAATGTTTGCTTACACAGCTCCGTTCCGGAGTCTGCCCCAGACCCCTTTGTGTAGGAAGAGTCTGACTGCGGGTACAATGATGACAGTAGCGACACCAACAGCGACACTGGCACTAGGAGCCTCAAAGAAAGAACACTAGCAATGCAGCGTCGGAAAGTCAGGAAGGTGGACGCCCTCTCTCATCGAGCTTGTCATGCTCTGCGGTGTTGGCATGCTTGCCGTAATCATTCAGCTCACTGGAGTCGCGCTGTGCAAGCTTAATCATATCTCATCAAAGACTGGGAAGCACAGAAGGTGTACAGTTCTACATCCATGTAATGTGGGTGGCTGCACAAATTTTAGCTCTGATGTGGGAAAGTCAAATTTGGGGGTTTTACGTGCCAAACCTATGACGGGCATCTGGCACCTATGACGGGCATCTGGCACGCCCCAGCGGAGGACTGAGGATTAATTTGGACCACCTGCGGAGCTCGGTTACACAGTGCCTTCTCTGCAATAAGCCTCCGTCATATTGCGGGCACCTCGGTCGGGATTCGAACCCGCCACCTGAGGACCTGTAGGCCGGTGCTCTCGCCTCAGAGCCACCAAGGCGGCTTCTGATGTGGGAAATCACTTATTGGGTTGGGGTGAAGGCATGTTTCTGCATCCACATACATCATGTGCACGCAGAACTTCACACATTCTATGCTCACCAGTTCGTTGCAATGACATGCTCTTAAATCGTAATGCAGATATTTTTTTCTTCCTTTTTTACTTTTTTTGTTTCTCTTTATAAGCCTAAGCAGTCAATGTAGTCCACTTGTTTGCTCTCGTAAATGTCTCTGTCAGGGTTTCTTTTGGTACACATTTTCATAAAATTTGGCTGATAAAACACTGTGTTCAAAGAGGTTTTGGCAGAGCTCTGGTGGGCCGATACAAATTTTTTTTTTTGAGTGGGTGCATTTTTTTAGTTGCACTACCTGCACCGGTGTGAAAAAGTGCAATGTGGTGTACTTCTGGCATGTGTAAGAAAGTGCAAGGTGGTGTACTTCTGGCATGTGTATCGAGATAGAACCGTAAATACATTGCCCTACAATTTTCTTCACCAGTGCCGGTGTGGCTAAAAAGATGCACCTAGAGTCGGTGACAGGTCAAGAACGAAGTGGAAGCTCCTCCCACCCTTTTCCACTTCAGCCGAGCAAACATTAAAGGGCAACTCCGGTCCATACTTTCGGTTTTGGGATTATGACTGTTTTTAGTCTAGTCAGCGTCCCTGAACTGCAAGGTGCAATTTTTTTCTCGTTATTGTGCGTAGTTCTACAGATATGGACGCCTCAAAGTTTTGTTTGGGGCGCAGCCAACAAACCCGAAACTAGCCGCTCGAGGCTCCGGCAACGCTCGAAATCAACCGCTATGTGAACGTGACGTCAGGATCGTTCTCGTTCAACGAGCACGCACGCCGAGCGGCACCTACCTCTGTTGCGCTAGCCGTCTAAAGATAGGAGGTAAGCTGATTTTGTTTTAATTCTGTATACGTGGTAGTTATCCAGCATATGTAGCAAGGGCTAGTGCATATACCCAAAAGCTAGCGACTGGAAAACCCGTGAACTCGTACGATTCCGTACTCGGCGGCCGCCGCCATGCGTGCGCTATGCCGTACTCGTCGCTTGTATACCCAAAAGCTAGCGACTGGAAAACAAGTGAACTCGTTCGGTGCCGTACTCTGCGGCTGTCGCCGTGTGTGTGGTCTTCCGTACTCGTCGCTAGACATAAATTGTCATCGGGGCTCTGTGGATGGAGCGGCGTTGCTCTACGCTGTGCTGCCAGTGACGTACAGTACTGGGGGCCCTCTCACTTTCGCGCTGCGGGTCAGTCCCAGACACAAAGCTTTGAGGCTCTACGGCGCGAGCTGCGGCGGCCGAACACACGAGTGCTGGGCTGTACACCTCTGTTTTTTCGTTCTTTTTTCCTCGGGCGCATAAAAGCCGAAGTCCAAAGTCCACTCATCGAACAGCGTTCACCCACACTTTCTTCAATTTCCGGTCCGTTCGAAACTTGTGAAGAAGCACCTCCGGGTTGCACAGCGGGTTGTTTGAGCAGCCCACAGCGCTACAAGTTGCGCTCGGCATCTTTCGAGGAACAGCTGGGCAGTCTTGGGCGCACCGAGTTGCTCGCTAAAACGAGTCTTGAAGTCCTCACAAGCAAATAAACAAAATTCTATACCGAAGCTACACGGGCTACAGATAAAAGCAACGGCTAAACACGCCAATCGCAAGCCGAAGTAGCTGTGGTAGTGGCTCAAAGAAGCGCACTACGCGCAACTCCTGGACCAGAGGAAAAAAAGAGAAGCATACTGACGTCACGGCCCAATGTTGCTTTGGCGATCGACAAACCGCTTGCCGCCCGCTAAGGAGCAGCGGCTTGCGGCGGGTCGCATTTTTATTATCGGCATTAGTTGAGAATGCGGCGTCCCACGGACGTAATATTTTCGCTGAGGTCGTAATTTGCAGAGCAGTCGCTTTCTTGTATGGGATCGCCATTGTCGCGGCTTGGTTTGATGGCAGAGTTATTGCTTTTTGGTGACACCATGTTCCAAAACTTCCTCGGGTTACCATTCAAAATAAACAGCGAGTCATAAAAAAAAAACTTTTAGTAGCCAATTTCAACTTTTTATTGTAGTTTTTAAGGGCAAAGTTATAAGCACCCAAAGCTTGAGGTGTTAACACGTTTAGCCTTTGCAAATAGCCTTTTCTTGTTATGCAAAAAGAGCAGCATTTTGGTGAACCATGGGTTATTTGAATCAGTGCATACTCAGGCTGTCGGAACAAACATATTTATAAGACTGTTCATTTTAGCTTTAAATAATGCCGGTTTCCTCTACTGATGGAAGAGGACAATTTAAATGTAATGGTCAAAAAAGATTGTCAACCCATGATCTATTCATCTATAATCAGCCTCATTATAATCGCGAATGATTTTGGAAATAGAATGTTTGACAAGAACGGAGAGTGGCAAGTCGACATGTTGTAACCTATAATCACGGAGCCCATCGCAGTATTGAATGGACTTGACAAGGTCCGGTGACGTAGTTAGTGCAGGGGTGGAACTCACGAAATGTCCTTGGGAACAGCCACGGGAGCAACTGAAACAGCTGTTTAGGAGCAGGTTGGGAGCAGCTAAAACTATGTTCTGGAGCAGGCTTGGAGCAGCTCAGATCAGTTTTCATTGCACTTCAGCTTGTGTCTTAGACACGCACGGGAGCAATTTCAATCGCGCTTAGCAGCACAGATGAACATGAGTGGTTAGGGACCTAGGTAGATGGGATAACAGTGTAAAAGGTGTGAAAACTTGAAACTTTGTGAGCCTCTATACTTTCCAGACTCGTACGTAACGTGTTACAAAATTACTTGTAATTGATTATTTTTACTGCAATTTTGTGACGCTTCGAATACTTCCTTTAAGGGGTAATGATCTTTTTAATTGAATTAATTTTTTGCTGTAATCGATTACAAAATTACCCCCCATTACAATCTTCCTCATTTCTTTTTTTTTTTTTTTGGGGGGGGGGGGGGGGGGGGAGGGAGTGGGAGTTATTCACCTCCGGGCAACGGGCTTTTTTTTCTTTTCGAAATTATTAAGCACGAGGCTGTGAGGATTAGTAGGCCACTTTACTATGCTTCTTTTTCGTGGGTACATTTTTATTTCTACACCGGAGACTACTTATGGGTATGAAAAATGACTTTATCTAGCCTCTTGTGAGGGATTAGGTGTGTGCCATCACTCACTCAGCTTTAAGCGCGAAACACACGTACAACCAAACCGTCCGATCCGACGTGCGGACTGCCGGAATGACCTTGGGGGGCGAGGGGGTTCCGCAGCATCGGAGAGCGTTGAAAACCCTTGCCTCCGACCGTCGTATTGCGCGGTCAGACGTCGGATCGGACGGTTTGGTTGTACGTGTGTTTCGCGCTTTAAGCAAAAACAGTCGAGGCTTTCTTTTTTTTTTTCTTTAACAACTGAGCACGAGATTCCACGGATTATGCAATCATAAAAAAAGTTTGAATGAAAAGTAACGTGGGAAGTAATTGCTTACTTTAGAGTAATTTTTCGATTACTTCTTTGAGGCTGTAATTGTAATTGTAGTCGGGTACTTTATACAGCAAAGTGATTGTAACTGTCATCGGTTACTTTTTCAGTGACGGGTACAAGTCTGATTATTTTCTTAGTGGCTTTCAGCTGCTCAAAATGCAAACCAGCTCTGCTTATCACACAACCCACACGTGCTCGACATAGTACTTATATGTGCGAACCACGTGACGTGCGTAAGCAACGGACGCGGAGTTGCGCGGAGGAACAGGGCACCAAATTTCGAGTTTATCCTATTGTGCAACTGAATATCGAAGCAGCAGACTACGATTAACGAAGTCATCGTATTCGAAGTGACAAGCAGGTGCAAGGTTAAAGTACACCAAACAGATCTACCGATCGCGTGAAAGCTGCTGGCCGGCAAGGTTTCGGATCGGATCACGTTTCAGTTCTATCAAATCACGATTTATCTTGCGGGAACGCGGTTCCAACTTCTAACGATAAAGTACTAAAAGAAATCTTTTGCTAGTTTGTTTTCAACTGGCCGACGTACTTTTTCTGTACTCAAAAGGTTTGCTGCGGGCAAGTCGTACAGACGCAGAAATATCCTTGGGGCGTCTTTCAATTTGAAACCGGAGGCCAAAATGCTTTCTCTGTCTTAGAAACGGGCAAACTTAACGATGATCGGTCTAGTTTTCTCGGGCTGGAATTTCTTTAGCTGGTGCGATTTCTCCAGATTAGAGGGGCCAAGCTGTACACCTAACTTATGCGCACAGAACTCGACAACTTCTTCTGATTGCCCCTATGCTTCAGTGCCAGTATCCAAGAAGCCAAACTGCTGCATTTGTGTATTTCGCCACCAGGGGGCCAGCGTCTTCCGGTGGACTTCCCGCGCACACCGCGCCATTCCTTTTCTTCTTGTTCCATGCAACCGCCATGAGGTCTCAACATGTAACCTAACCTGTTAATAAACAATATGTGACTACGTGACAAGAACATTTTTTCCTCATCGACGCAACACAAACAAGAACAGATTAGACCTCCTAAGCCTATTTTCATTGTCACCATACTGTTTTTGAATATGTAGTGGTGGAACTGACAAGAGGTGATTTGGAGCAGCTCTTGTAGCAGGGAACAACACATTTTGGAGCTGATTCCCACTTTTGGAGCAAACAATGTGGAGCTTTCACCTCAAAAAGTTTTATACCATTTCTTTAGGAGGTAGCCTGTGGGAAAAACTGTAGTTGTTGGTGGTGGAAAACTATTTAAGGCACCATACCTACAGGGACCTGGCCACTACAGATATTTATTTATTTATTGAACAATCATACGCCAGTAACTCTCCAGATGTCTCAATTAACCTGTTAGGAGTACCGATGGCGTCTTCGGTTTGTGTTTGATGCAAAAAATATGTTTGGCTACTTTGTAGGGTTTGTATCACGGTGAGGTAATTGCCACAAGTTCGACAACAAACGGACACTTTTGTGTTGAATGTCACGCTGCCCTCGCTCGTATTCAATCTACTACTGTTCATAGAGCAGCTAAGCAAAGCACATAGTTACTTTAACTGATAACAATGAGTAGCGCTATCTATTCATTGCGATCGATGTGAGCACCGTTTGCACAAAGAACAACAACTCTTCGTTAGGCACGTGCAAATAATGGGTGTTAGGTTCGAAGCGAATTCGAATTAAATAGAGGTTCTGGCCGAATATTCTTTAATTGAATATTGAATAGTTGCTGCGTCTTTCTCCACGCTTTTCACTACTAGTACACCATGCTTAAACAAATATTCGGCTGTACTCACAAAGCTTGTTCCCAAGCTTCTAATTGCCCGCTTATGAGCTCTGTTAAATTTAATCTAGCTACATTTATAGACTGTGGCCTCAGGCAGTCCAATACCTACATTGGGGTGGCAAGTAAATGACAGATTTGAATTAAAATGAAACCTATAAGAGAGCCCAGCCACACCTAATTGAGGGGATTTGTAAATATTCTTGCCGTATACAAATATATGTTCTTCATACCTGAATTAAAACAAAACAAGGATAAATAATGAACACAGGTTGCTAAAACATTGCTGCCTAACATATACACTTGCATAACAACCACAGTTAGATTTTGAAGATTTTACTGTGACGTAAATATCAACAATCACTATTTTTTTTCTTTTTATTACACCAGGCGCACGCATGCGCTATACCACTTTTAAGGTGTGTTTTTCGCCTCCGTGTGCGGCTGAGCTGCGGCAAAGCGAGCCGGAAGATCGTGGTGTCAGCTCCGCAGGTATTGCTTCTCCGCAGTGCATCAATTCTTGAGGAGAAGTGCACTCAAGGAGTTAACCCACCCCAATAATTAAAATATTCGCTCAGCCCTACTCTTTGCACATAGTACTGGCACATGGCATTCTTGGCAACGCAAAGAATGCCATGTGCCAGCCACTTTCAGTCTCCTTTTCAAGAACAGCCTTTGGAACAGCATGTAGCAGGTTATTCCTTCTGGCACAGTTTGGTGCAAATGGAGCGGCAGTTCCACCACTGAATATGCATTCATGCATTTGCTAACACGTACCCAGCCGAAATGTTTATCAGCGCATAGTAACTTCCTGTCACCGGTAGGTCAAGTTGGTAACTATTCCAAACATCTGGAATCAGTTGACGGACATTTTCACCCCAGGGTTCTATCGAATCAATAAGGGCTGTCAACATTACATAGTTAATTTAAGCACTGAAAGTATTGCATTTTCTTTTTAGGGGGGGATGGGGGGGGGGGCGGGGTTTGAGGACACATGCGAAGTAAAAAAACATTTTTTTGTAAACAGACCAGATGGAAAAAGAATGTTATAAAATAAAATTAGAACGAAGAAAAAAAATTTTAGAGCTATATTGACGGCACAAAATGATTTTGTAGTTGCGCCCGTGGGAGCCGCCGCAAGTCATGTGATAGACCTGTGCGCCGTCTCAAAGTCGACTCACAGTCACGCCGCCGCTGCACGCTGAGCGTGGTGCGCCGCCGTCAACTCATTTCTCCACACCGCCACCGCCGCGCAAGTTTGTCTACCCCGCAGCGCTGCCGCCGTCATCTGACCGGCACACAGGTCTATCACGTCTGCTTCCGTTTTTTCAGGAGCTTTCTTTGGGTTCGAAAAGTTACCGATTAATCTTTGTGTTTTGTTGCACTTGAAATAAAGATGAATAACTAACTTTTAGAGACCATAGGAAGCTTCCGATAGAGCGGAAGCACCACGTGACAAATAGCGACCAGTCACGTGACGACTAGCAGCCACTTTTCCGCAGCGCCCGCCGGCGCCAACTACAAATTCGTATACGCCGTGAATATAGCTCTTAAAATTTTTATTTTCCTTGTGAATTTGTTTTATGACTTCCTTTTCCCAACCAGGCTGTTTAAAAAAACTTTATTAGTCCTTTGCATGTGTCCTTTAAGAAGTGCTCGAGCTTCCTTAGGCTTCCTTGCTGGAAATCCTTTGTATTCCTGTTACTAACAAGTGCACCAAGGAGACACTCCGGCCATTATTGAACACTTTGAATAAACAAATATGAATAGTTGGAAGATGTTACAAAGCAGTCTACATTGATAAAAATTCCTTCTTTCTGCATGTCAAGTTCGCTTGTGGCGTAATCTAAGATTACTACGACATACCAGTTAAGGAAAGTTGGTCTTCAAATGCGGACACCACACGCGAGCCACAGCGAGCTACAATGGGGAGCAGTGCCACGCTTGAGAAGCCCATCGAGGCACAGATGTTGTTTGGTCTAGCCACAGTTTACAAAATGGCCGCTGCAGCAAGAACAGCGGGACTGCGACTGCTCGCTTTTAACAATTCTGCAAAGCGGACACCTATGGCAGTTTTTCAACTGAGATGTTCAAGTAACGGTGGTGTAACCCGTGCCAAAAATGAAATGGAGCATAGAGACCCACTTTATTCGGCTGGCGGATGGAGATTCTGCACACCGACGAGCTGAAGCACTAGCGAAGTCAGTGCGGACGACTGGTGCGCACTTGCTGCTGCTTGTCCCTCTACAGCCTGCAGGAAAAGGGGAAGGCATTATGCACAAAATGCAAACTGTTACGCAACACATTAGTAAAGTTAAAAGCACGCCAGAGGTTTTCAGACGCGTTGCAAGCAATACTATAGGAAACTTTTGCCAAACAATTTTTCACCTTGGTAAGCTCTGTGCAGTCATGTTGCAGAGCAGTTTTCACCATTCACCTTATTAGATTACTCGTAGACAACGAGGTACTGGCATTTTAGGTGCTCCTAAAGCACAGAAGAAAAGAGAATGGCTGTGTTAACGAAAGAAGTCGAGAAGTCTGATCAAAGGCGTATGTGGGGCGAGTAAATCCACCCTTACTCTGTTCTCTTTCCCCTTTGGAGCTGCCTTGGTGGCGTCCTTGCCTGCGCTTGCGAATGATGCATTTTAGTTACACTGACGGCAGAGTTGCCGCGTGACAAGTCCTTCAGTAACGAGGCCAGTTTCCTATAATTACACGAACACACGCTGGTGGCGGAATATTATTTATTTGTTTCTTTAGTTACTTAGAATTACCCTCAAGGCCCCAAAGGGCATTACAGAGGGGAGTGCATGGTTAGCACAGTTCTGATTTTAGCGTTATCGGTGATGGTGACAATATCATCTGGAAGGCCATTCCAGTCTACAATAGCTTCTGGTAGAAGGGAATGTTGAAATGGTCTTGGGAAGGGTAATCTTGCACGAATGATCGAGTCTTGCAGAGATATAGCTGGGCTGGCTGAGGAGAGACTGTCGTAATGGTTCCGAATAGTACATTTTATGGAAAGGCAAAGACGGGAAATTCTGCGACGAACGGAAAGATCAGGAAGAGCTAATTGACATTTCATTGCAGTGACACAAAAAAGGCGAGACTAATTAGAAAAAATAAATCGAGCAGCACGATTCTGGACAGATTCGATTTGCGTTAGTTAAAAAAAGACTGATGTGGGTGCCAGATAGCTGAAGCATACTCTAGTTTAGGGCGAACAAGCATGGCGTAAAGGAGACGTTTAAGGATAGAAAAGGCAGAGTTGAAATTGCGACAAACAAAACCGAGTGAGCGGTTTGAGGATGATATTGTCTCGTCGACATGAACATTCCTGGATATATTAGTGGTTAAACGAACGCCTAGATATTTTGACTGTGTAGCAGTCAGAATGGTAGTGCCATTGAATGTTAACGAGTTTAAGGGCTGGAAGCAAAAATGTGTAAAGCAAAGGTGTGTGCATTTGCTAATGTTGAGACACATCTGCCATGTGTGACACACTGCTTCAAGAGCTTTTTTATATAACTTGCGATTCAAATAAAATGAAATTTACATGGCTTATTTGGCATTACAATCGGACTACAAATATGTACTTTGTTTTGAGGTAACCTAATTAGATTTATTAATATTAAAAATTTAATTTGCAATGGTTATGGAAAGGATTAACGCAAATTAAAATACTGAGCTCAGAAAATAAACATAGATCAGTGAACTGAGAGGTATGTGCAATCCAATAAGGTATAAATGAAAGCTCTAGGATGATTTATAAATTACTTATGACACTTTTGAACCTTCCAGTTTCAAAATCATTTTTTGCCGGATGCCTAAAAGGCACCCACAAAAAGCCTGACAGCCTATTTAATATATTTGTAGCCCTCATTCAATATGTCGAAAATCCTTCAGGACAAGATGATAAGTGCTTGCCAAACTTCAAAAAACACATTTTTAAAAATGTGTTTTCTTAGTAAAATTTTGCTTCAAAGAGCAGTGTCTCCCCTTAAATGCCGTTCTGGAGTGCAACATGGTCATATGGGTTTTTTATTAGTCTATAAACAGCACAGGTCATCAGTGAAAAGATGAACAGTGGATGAGATGTGAAGAGGGAGATCATTAATGTAGATTAAAAAGAGCAAAGGCCCAAGCACAATTTCCTGTGGAACACCGGAAGAAACGGGAGAGAAAGAGGAGGATGTGCTGTTAGTGAAAACGAATTGAGAGCGATGAATAAGGAATGATTCAATCCACTTAGGAACATGAGGATCTAGTTTTAGGAAAGAAAGTTTAAGAAGAATGCGATTGTCCGGGACTTTAGCAAAAACTTTGGCGAAATTAAGCAAAACAGCGTCAGTAGGAAAGCCGGTGTCAAGATTTTTAAACAAATCGTTAGTTAGAATAAGTAGTTGGGTCCCAATAGAAAGGCGTTTCCAGAGGCCATGCTGCACATTGGTGAAGAAATTGCAGGAATCCAGGAAGTTAATCAGGTGCCTGTAAATGACATGCTCGAGGATCTTGTAGAGGCAGGTGAGTGATATTGGCCTACTTACTAATTTTCCGGTCAGAGGGCAACACCCCTGTGTCCACGGACTGCTCAAATATCTTTGAGGTAAAGACCGGATGAAAATTTAGTGTTAGTGAGAGCCTTCGTAATGATTTCCTCTATGCCACATGATGGAGATATTTTGAGGGTTTCTATACCGCTGAAAACACCCTGAATGTTTATAACAATTGAATCCATTGGAAAATCATTCTCTATAACAGGAGAAATTCCATTAATGGGTGTAGAAATAGTGAAAGCATCAGAAAACGCACTATTTAAATATTCACACATTCACTATTCAATATGTTATTACAAGAGCTATTCACTAGATTAATTTCAGAGTACAAATCTCCAAAATTTGCGAGGGTTGTTTATTAACATATTTGGTAGAGTTTGCAGAAAGAATGTCTGCTTAGAGTTATCAGAAAGAATGTGTGCTAACACCCCTTTAAAATAGTTTTTTATTCGGAAGAGCAAGTGGCAAGCTTAGGCCAAGTATTTCCTTTTTTAGCGCTCCTGAAACATCTTTTCTTTTTATGAGATAAACGATGAAGTGGATTATTGAACCACGGTTTAGACGTAGTAGTTCGGATTGTCGAGCACAGTATGGTAATTTTCAATAAGTTGAAAAAATTTTGTCTCAAGGCTTGCCAATTTTCATTAGCATTATGGCACTGGAAGGTTTCATTGAAATAAACAAAATAAAGCCTTCGCTGTTGGACACTTCAAATACACATACAAATCATATCTGGTTTCAGTCTGAGTCTAAGAACACTGCCTTCTAACTTAACTGGCTAAAGTAGGGTTGACCAAAATCAGCCTAACAACAATAATTGGGAGTGCACTACACTACAGTTCTCTTAACACCTACGCTTGCAAGTCGACGGAGTGCATCGACTGCCTCTCTCTGCACGAGCAGCATTTCCTGCTGAACTGCCAGCTGCTGCTGCTGGGTGGCCAGCAGACCTTGCTGTGTGGCCAGCAGTTCTCGCTGGACAGCCAGCTGGTCCTGCTGAATGGACAGCAGATCCCGTGCCGTATCAACTCCAGACTTGGCCCTAGTTCTCCGGACTGGCATGGCACCTGGTGGATGCTGCACTGCTAATGACACGAAACACATTTGTAATAGCGTGCACACTGCAATAAACAATCGCAGCTTTCCCATCTTTTTCGTTCGTACCATTCGGTGGTAGGGGGCATGCCACTTGCGCAGGACGTTCCTCCTCTCCTCCCTTTGCCATGTCGCCTTCAGCCACAGACCCCTGCATAATATAATTCAACTATGTAACACACCACAACGCTATACAGCCCTTCTAGTTATACCTGTGTCTAATAGTGTGCACCCTAAACTCAATATTATTTTTTTTTTCGAATGTCACGGATTTATTGTCTCCGAGTGGGTCTAGAAATGTGCTGCAGCCCCGATATCCAAGCTTTCGTGAAAAACACCACGAGGAAATACATTCGCACCACATTGTTTTGTACATTAGTGTTCAATAAGGTAAAAAGCAACATGGTGTCTGCTCATGATCCAAGAGATTCACGGTACTTATCGAAGCTGCTGCTGCAGCCGTGAAGTCCCACAGCGGCGCGTCCACTGTCGGGGGCGCACGCCCGCCCCCTCGAGAGAAATCCGTCCCCACAAAAAATAATAATTTATCTTGCTCCGCGTTTAGGGACGGCCCATCACTCGCGCCCCCACCGGCATACCTGCCAACCTGTGGACATTACAATTCGTAAAACTCACGCAATTGCGGGGGGGGGGGGGGGGGGCTGTTTCGCAAGGTGGCAAGGCTTAATGTCAGCCTTGTCACCGTGCAAAACGCTTACATTACACGTGCACGTGCTACAGAATCCAAACTTCTCTCCTTTTTTGGACGGCACAAAGCACTGGAATTCCGACGTGTAGGACTTCAAGAACACCTGAAAGTACCTCTTTTTAGGTTTGGAATTTGCCATTGCACCGCGAAGCCACCGCAACCAGGGGAATGCTATGATTACACGTGTAACAAACACAGACGCTGCACTTCTCGCCTCGAAACTGGCCGAAACAGAGGCCCAACCACGTCTGAACACGCCAAACCAACATGCGCCGCCAAACACACAAACAAAGGCTTTGGGCTTTGGATTGATTTTGGATATGTGGCCACCAGATAGACGGATAGTAAAAACCACAACGCTGCCGTGGACGGCACCTATCGCCCTCTTGTGGCAGTGTGAGGTACCGCCAGCAACGGTTTTACGAAAAAAATGTTTAAAAAAATAGAAATGAAAAAAGTATCTTTTTTTCGTAAACTTTGAAGCAAGATTCGTAAAATCGTAGAATTAGTCCCAATTCATACATTTTACAAAAAATTCGGAAGAGTTGGCAGGTTTGCACCGGTCTTCTGTTAGGGACACGAGACTCTCAGGTCGCAAGCCCACGTCTGGCATGCACGTGAGTTCCAGAAAGTTATTCTTTATGGCCGAAGGGCATTTAACTCTCAAACTATTACGCCCCATAGTGTATCTCGCTCCTCCTTGGTAACAAAGCTCTCTGTAGCAGTCCCCGAGAAAACTCGACTTTCACCGAGAAAGTCCAGGAGAAGCGCAAACTGTCGTGCCGAGACGTAGCGACCTAGCTTGCGCTTCTTAGCGTTGTCGGCCACAACTGTCTTCGCAACGTAAAGGGTTGTAGTTAACGTTGATTGTATTCATTATTTCAGTACATTAGGTACTAATTCATGCAACCAGATTTCAGGAATATATTTTTTAATTTTGTCTCATGCTATTCATTTTGCCAACTTAAAAATAATATTTTTACTGTTATACTCACCGCGGTGTTTTGAGATTCTCAGTGGGGACACTTTAAGGGAAAAATCCCGATAGAGTTTCAACTCAGTCGTGCGTGTTGACAGACGTCACAATGGAGTTGGTTCGCCGGTGGAGTTTGCCAAAGATGGAGATGAAGCTGCTCCCATTGGCAATCCCACGAAGGAGATTTACCACTGCTTCTTTCAGCATAGACAGACGGGCGATGAGGTCAGAGGGGATGCACCTACCGAAGAAGCTGCATCACAGAGGCTAGCCTCACCACGTCATGTCATGGCCCTGCTCTTTTCAGCATGTTATTTATTATATTGCGCCAGAAAGCCAGCGACATCAGTACCTGGGCTAGTTGGTGCCACTGATCTCTGTTGTAGTAAGCTGGATCACGGATCGAGGCTCGTCTTAATAGGGAGGAGTGGTGCCACCAGCGCCCATCACTTGACATTGGCTAATGCATAAAACTCTATGGGAAAGACAAAGAAAAGTGACGTTCCCCCTCTCGTAAACTGTTGTCGTCACTGAATCTTTTGGCTGCTGTCGGGAAGCCTGTCAAATAGCTAGTGCACAAACATTAAAACTGACAACCCTCGCGGTTGTTATATAGAAATGTTTTGTTGTCGAGAGTGACTCTACTGGGCAAAAAATGTACAGCAGCTCACTGAGAAGAGAGTTACCTAGAGGTACCTCGGAGTCGGTGGCGATTTCAATGAGTCGGGTTTAGCAGGTGACAAGCTTGAAGGCTCTGCTATGATTTCGCTCACTCCCGGAAAGACGCTGCCAATATGGAACTTTGTTGATGTTCAGCAACTTCTGGGCTCCCCCACGACGGCATTATTGACAGCAAGTTTATTTGTTCACTCCACCACGAGAGCAAGCTTTCCAGATCAGCCATGGGTGCTATAGCACAATATTTTAATGGGCATTCGAATGCTTGAGAAATCGCAATTCAACCTCCAAACACACAATAAAATTATTGCAGCACATCGTAAAATACATGCCTTCGAACACTGTGTAGAAGCTTTAATTTCCTTCTTTTGTGTGTTTCTCCCATAGACTTGCGTGTATACACGACTTGCATTGACGTCACATCAGCCACCATTGCTGCGGACCATGCTCCAGTGCCCGTACCTTCCGGAGCACACATTTAGGACCAATGAATTTCTTCCTCTCGGAGAACTTTGCGGAGAAGAACAGATTCGATGCTGCCAAAATGTATGTTCCAGAGGGTACGGGCACAGGAATGGTATGGAGCCATATGACGTCCCGTGCAAGGCACGTATTGCTTGGTGCCAAGCAATGGCTGCCGGTGGCGCCACCGACAGACTTCCGATTTGAATCCAGCCTACTACAATAGAGACCAGTGGTTGGTCCACGCTTCAAGAAAATTGGTCTATGCGTAGGTTTACTCAGCTGCACAAATTTCCGTAGAACTATGGCAGCAGTTGAAGAAACGTTTAGGGTTCCTGCCACATGACAATGTTGGATGCGCAAGAAGCAAATGCCCGTGGCTCAGAGTCCGGTAGAGGCAAATGTGCAGCCCTCCCCGTCGCAACCTCCGAGGCGGAGTTGCGGAATTGCACACAACTGTTTTTAACACTTCGACAAGTCGCGCGAGCGAGTTGCGTGAACTGCTCGTGCCGCAGAGCACGTGAGCTCGGCAGCTGTCCAGAGTGATGAGCGAAGATTGTGGAATCAGGGCTGCCGAAGCGGCATGTACAGCCGTTACGATGAGACAGGAGCACGTCGCTTTGAAGAAAGCAGGCCAGCAGATAAGAAAGGACGTGGTTGCACACTGCACAGTTCTGACGTCACCCGTGATAGAGTTTTCGTGTCATCGACCTCCAGACCAAGCGGGCAGAGCTATACGTAGAAACCATGGTGTAATACGCCACGTCCTGTCCAGTTCTCCCTTCTTTTTCGTCTCTGTTGTTTTGGTGTTTTACATCATGATGCAAAACCAACTAGCCCAACCAGCCATCCTTATACACCTTTCCAAAAAACACCCAACCCCAGGGGCAACAAACTGTTTTCGAGCCCAGTCACTGAGTTTGAGGCTAGACTCTCACCAGCGTCCCTCCTAACCCTAACCGAGTGGACTGTGATGTCAATAGGCGCAGCCTGTGTAGGCGCAGTTTCAAACACTGCTGGCGGATAAATTATCGTCGTTTCCCGCTATATTTTGTGTTTCATGCTACATGTATTTTCCCGAGGACATTGAGAAAGCATTGTCCCACATTTAAAAAAAAAAAAAAAAAACTGAACTATTTTTGTTGGGTACGCGCGCGACAGAACGAGTTCGATTGGAATGTATAGTTCTAGTTGTTTGTGTTTATTTCTTACGATAAGCTTTGACGGCGCCGCAGGATTCACCGCATGTGAAACGACAAAGCGCTTTGCTGTTAAAAATAAATTGCAACAGAAGAGGGCCGAAAGGCATGCATTTTTCATGCTCACAAATAACGTGTTTACCGATGGACAGGACACGGACATACAATTGAGGAAGTGGTAACATTCAAACAATATATCGTACGTACCACACGATGCAGCGTTATCCGAAAAGAATGTATTTGAGAAAGATCTCAAATAACACAGTCACAGTCGACGACAGTCACATCTTGATGATCGGACGGAATCAGAGATGACTTCGTCTTGGGGCCCGTTTTGGGAAGAGCTACCTTTTCTCATAACCGCACCAAAGCAAAGAAACAAACGCGACTGACCCGTTTCTCACCCCAACCCGGACAGCTATATTTGGAGACGACTGAGGATTCTACGCGGATTATCTCTGGGAGGGGGAAGAACAATGTTTGCAAAATCGCGTCGAGGGTCGTTCGACGTCCTTCACCTCCTTCCTTTCCCGTGAATGTCGAGCAGAAAAGCTTGAATGGCAGGTACTTACCAGCCTTATTTATCACAGTGGAAGATAACACAAAAAGGGTACGCAGCACGCATAAAAAAAATTAAGTGGAAACTTTCAAGAGGGGCGAGAAAACATTGAATGCAAAACCGCAAAAACGTAGGTAGAGAACCACGCCGAGCGGGTCTTCACAGTCCCAGAGGGTGGCAGAAAATTTCTAGCTGATAGAGGGCGCGAGAGTCGCACCAGCCGCATCAGCATCAGCAACATGGCAGTGGCCTAGGAGCGTTTTTTGGAAAGGTGTATACATAGAAAGAGTTTGGCCATTCATTGGAAAGTATAGGAAGCAAATGAAGAGGCGCCATTGGCCGAAAGCGGGCTGGGCGTGTCCCAGGGCGTCTTCACAGATTTGAATGTGGCCAGCCAGAAGCCGCAAATAATACCCTGGCAGTGGTCGCGAGAAACAAAATTAATAAGTGCGTCGGACTAACCCTTGGCGAATGAAAACATGATGCATGTGATTGTACTATCACGGTCATACAAAATCAATATCTAGGAGAACGGTCGACATGATCTGTATGCCAGGCGTCTGAGCCACGTCCGAGCGGTCAGACTCTGTCCGAGCAAAACGGAGTTCGAGCGGGACATTCGATTCTTACACCTTTTTGCACGATCATAATCGAAGCATCACGTAGACTATATTTTCACAGTGTTGCCAGATTGGGCTATATATAGCCAAATTGGGCTACATTTTTTTCTAGTTGGCGTCAAAATTTCGCGTTTGGCTATGTGGCTATTTTTGGGCTATATCTAAGGGTGCGGCGAACTCTTGACGAACCTCCGGTTCGACGTCGAACTTTGAGGTTCGATTAGTTAATTTTCGAACTTCTAGTCAGTTTCGAAAAAAAAATTGTTTATCTTTTGGCTAGTTGAGAGGAGAGAGAGGAAGGAGGATGGCTTCAAACTTCTACAAACGTCGGGGTTTTCACAATGCGCAGAGAAGCAATGCTAGCAGAGTTCAAGTGGTCTCCCCACAGCGCAGTGAAGCAAATCAAACAAACAAATTGCACTGTTTTTACAGGTCCAGTAGCGCGTCTTCTACCCGGACGTAGACTGAACTCTCCAAACGCAGCTTTGGTGCCCATTGCGAAAATTCTTAGGCATCGCCAACTTTAAGAAATGAAACACAATCAAAAATAGCGTGTACCGGAACGGGGGACGCTCATATTCTACACAAAGAAAAATAGACGGGTGGGTTATTGGTAAGAACCTTAGATATAAGGGGTGCTGGTTTGAAACTCCCAGTTCTGGCACTTCTGCTCCTGCATTCTGTTCTTTTACTGTATGGTTATAACTCCCGGGCCTCAGAATACAGCTGTCCATGTATGTTTTCTATTTCTGAAATCCTACAAAGGA